GAGATATGTATATGCATGATCCAACTACATTTGTGTTTCTGTGCAACTATGACAACAAACTAGCCAACTGGTTACTTATATGCATGCAAGAAAACACAGAAACCACACAGATGCATTTTGAGAGGATTGAGCAATAACATTAGAACTATCCTCTCGATACTCTTATGTACTTTCCTCCTCCTATTCCAACTCAAATCGCCGCCCAAAAACCGTAACATACAAATGTTGCAGTGTTAGTTGACTAAAGAAAACACCTATTTCACCACCCAATCATTCAGTTTCTGCAAGGAAGATGAAACACACATAGAATTGGACTAGTTTGCTTCAGTCATGTACTGAGTAGCAGACTAGCACTAAATTAGAAAAAGGAAAACAAACATTAAAATGTAAATATAAACTAGACTCATGTAGCAGGACTACTAGCAAATACTACTACATTGTATTGACATGCAGGCAGCCAGAATCGCTAGGCTATGATGGTCCAGTCAACGAATTTCCGACGAGAAGGTGTCAATGCTCTCCCACGGGACCCTTCTGCCTGAATCAGGCCAGAATCGCAGTCGGCGCTGGGACCTGACACTACTGCACCTCCACTCAACAGATCATGATGCCAGAAAGACCACATCAGACACCACCACCGCCGGAGGCTGCTCCATCCCCGCCAGTGCGACACAGACATCAGATGCCACCGTGACCAGCGGATCCTCCACCTCCGCCATCACGGCGTCCAGACGCGTGGAGGAGATCATCAAAGAGCAAGCATATGGGGGGTAGTGGGCGCAATCGGAGCCGGAGAGAAAGGATCTCAACCAGCCTCGGGCAGAGGAAGGAGACGACGGCCGCATCGTCCCGTCGACGACGGCAGGGCACGGCAGTGGTGGGGCTGGATTTGGTTGCCCAGGGAGCACGGGGCAGTTGCAGAGGACGCCATGGTGGAGTAGGCTGGTGGTGGTGCGGCCAAGACAATCGTGGTGGTGGTGGTGCGACGACGACCTCGGGGCAGAGCCACGCCGGGGTGGTCCTCCCCTCCTCCGATCCGCCGGTGGAGCGTGGTGGTCGGTTAGTAGGAGGCTCCTGGTGGTCGGCGTTGAGGGGAGAGGCCGGTGAGCCCCCTCTGATCCAGATCCATGGGGAAGAGTGAGAGAAAGAATAGAGAGAGAGACGCAGGTGCTGCGGGGAAGACAGAGAGAGGCTGTCGGTGGGGTGGGCCGGGACCTTATCAGATAGCGCTTGTGATGGCCGGATCATGCGGCTGCGAGCCAGCCGCTCGATGTCTCCAAATAGTGCGTATGCACTTTTTAGATTTTAGGATTTTTTTTTCATTCCAGCGTTCGGGAACTCGGGAACATCTGATCGGCGCTATATAGGGCGAGCCATAATTCAAATAGTTATTCTGATCCCAGGATCAGAATAATGTTGTTTTAAGAATGATCATGATGCCCTCATGGCCGTATTTTATTTTTATCGACACATCTATCTCTAAACATGTGGACATATTTTTTGATTTCGGCTTTCGTTTGAGAACAAGCGAGGTCTAAGCTTGGGGGAGTTGATACATACATCTTGCATCATGCTTTTATATCGATATTTATTGCATTATGGGTTGTTATTACACATTATGTCACAATACTTATGCATGTTCTTTCTTATTTTACAAGGTTTACATGAAGAGGGAGAATGCTAAGAGCTGGAATTCTGGGCTGGAAAAGGAGCAAATATTAGAGACATATTCTGCACATCTTCAAAAGTCCTGAAACTCCACGAGAGCACTTTTCAGAATATATAAAAAGTATTGAACGCAAGAAATACCAGAGGGGGGACACCCACCAGCCACGAGGGTGGGGGGCGCACCCTACCCCCCTGGGCTCGCCCCCTGCCTCGTGGGCTCCCTGATGGCCCTCCGATGCCCATCTTCTATGCAAAAGCCTTGTCTTATTTTTTATATGATGATTCTAGTCATATGTCTAGCTTGCATGTGGTGCCTCAAATTCAACTTTCTCCTGATCAACTTCCTCTACAGGGACGAACTCTTAGATTTAATTTGCTCGTTGCCGGTCCTAAAATCTACTCTGATGCGACTTTCAGATGTAAGAAAGTTCCAGGATTGGCGCAAGGTTCGGTTGCTACGGGAGTAGGAGTCTATCTATCGTTGCCTAAGGATCAATTTGAAGTAAATGTGCAAATTCAAGCTTCATCTCTGGCTACATCTTCTCCACTACAGGCAGAAGCACTTGCACTTTCTTTTGCGGCTCATCTGGCTAATAGGCTCAACATCATTCACCCAACTTTTCTTATGGATTGTCTATCATTGGCCTCATTAGCTGCATTCGGGTGAAATTGTGGAGGCCAATACCCCATGGAGCATCCAGAAGCTTTTGGGTGATTTCTTCAAGCAGGCATCCAATTTGCAATCTCAGTGTTTCATATTTCGAGGGAAATAAATGGAATCACTCTTTAAAAAAAACTAAATGGAATCACTCATAGTGTAGCTCATCAAGTTCTACGTTCTAATGTTGAACCTGAAATATGTTGCTTTGCTTGAAATATGTTGCTTTGCTTCAGCTCATAGACATATATCTTGTCCTGTACTTTCCCTCCTAGCTACATTTCAAGTCCAGGGCTTTGTAATTCATGCTGTAAGAGCTACTGAGCTGAATGAATTTGACGCTTCGTGCGCCTTTTGTTGTTCAAAAAAAAAAAGAATCAGCTTGCATTTCATTTCTGTTTTTTATTTTGTTTTGCAGCAACTGTTATTTTTTGTTAGTTGCAAATACTAACCAATTTGCCACCTATGTTAATAAACTTGCTCAGCACTAAATGCATGGTTGCTTCTTCTTTTTTGTTACTCTGTGAGATACAATACAGAAAAAAAAAGGAAGCTAGCCGAAATGGTACAAGACATTTGCAAAGGAATCGCACACAAGTTGTGCGCTAGTTCGTGGGGGGCTTTCATGGCATAGGTGGTAAGCTATCTCAAAATCAAAGAACCAGAGACGGGCGCTCCTTTAAGCTACAAACCAGGAAGACAGATGGCAAAGCACTTCAGCATCCTTTTGCTCGCATGTTGCCGTGCAACCTTTCAGCCAATAAAAGGCGAATGCGAGGCTGGATCATCGCCTCGAATTTCCCAGACATGTGCACGTATTTCCTAACATATTCAAAAATGAAGGAGTGGCCTTTATCTTGCTCATCAGATTCTTCAACTTCATGCTGTAGCCGCTGCCACTGCAGATGAAAGTCGACACTGTTATTTGGACAAGCGTAAAGGCTATAGACAAGCAACAAAAAGGATGACAGACAGCTCAAATCTTAGCTAAACCAGAACAAGTCGTCAACTAGCCGGGCAGATCCAAGCTTTACCTTATGCGGCTTAGAGCAGCAATTGCTTGAAGAGCACTGTGAATCATGTCTTCATTGCGATCAATCTCCTGCTTCACTGCATCACCCGTCGGTTTGTCACCAATAGTTTCCTCAAGGGGTTCAACTAATGAGTCCAAAACTGAAACAGGGTAATAATACTAATATTAGGAAAGGCGTTCACCACATATGAAACATCCCTTTTGAAGGTCCTTCATTATAACAAACCTGCAAGAACAGCGTAGGGGCACTTGTCTGCTAGCTTTGAGAGAATCAGATGGCAGGGCATTTTTACATCATAATGATCTGCAATAAGCAGTACGATGCACAACTGATTAGTATGTTCAGTTGAAAATAAACATTCCACAAGATTATCATAATATAGGTGATATACCATCTTAGGGTTTAGAAAGAAACACAAGAGAAATACATTGTAGTTAATAATCTGGAACCATATATCTTGAGAAAACCCAAAAAAATCTAAGCAATAAATGTAAAATTATCTTGTCATAACAATAAAGTTAAGTTTAACATCACTGGTTCTATGCAGTCCAGGCCAAGGAATCATGTGCCTTCACTTGGCCAATTATTTGGCAAGAACCCATGACAGGAATGGCTGGGGGCAGTCATAGCCAAAGAAATTGGCACCGAACTAAGCCAGACGAAAAATACAATGGTCTGCCCATTTCATGGTAGGGCTAATCCAGGCACCAACCAAACACACTCAAAATGCCATGGCGAAATATATAATGTCTTAACTGTACTTACCACCTAAACCAGATAAGAGGAAAGGAACGATGAAGGACGACGGATTCACTTGATCAAGACAACTATCCAGCAATGTGTCCACACATTCAAAGGCAGCTTTCCTAAGTTCAAGCCCATCATCAACGACGTGCTCGAAAGCTGTCCTAACCAATTCTTGCTGCAAAGAAGGAAATCATTACTACCTAGCAGTGAATTGCATGTAGCACCGCCAGATCATAACTAATGAAAGGAAATAAGCAACCAAACCAGAAAATAATACCTTCACGACAGTCTGGTCGTACAAAAGAGGGAGCAGTTCAGGAACAAGACCTTTGATCAAATTTGGCTTGTTGTGGGCAGCTGTACTCAGCGCCAGGATAGCTGCACGTCTCACATGCTGCAAGTGTAAACAATAAATGTAATTTGTCATCTTCAAATCTTTCTTTAGGAAGATTGGTTAGTAAGGATGTCAATACTATTTCAAGTAAAATTACCATGTCACTATCTTTGATTAACATAAGGAAAGTAGAAATCTCGGAGTACATGATTGCATCTATCTTTCCAGGCCGTTCAACAATTGAATATTTTATAGCAATGGCAACCGTAGCCCTTGTGTTTGCTGCTGGGCTAGATGTGCATTCCTACAAAATTATACGAAATGCCGCATTAGATCTCATATCATGGAGTAAATGAAACATGGGGTGTAACTTTGTTAATTGTCGACACTTCACACCTTCAGAACAGGGATTAGTTTGTTAGGTTCAATAAGTGCAATTTTGCCTAAACACTCAGCAACCACATCCTGAACTCCTTCGTCCTCACTTTTGCAGTGATTAAAGAGCAACGCCAATATCTTCACAATGTTTGAGTCCTGGAGCTCATCCTGGCCAGTATGATCAACAGACTGCCATGCAATTACCTAACAGGTTTTGCATAAGAGCACAAAATTAAACAGCAGTCTTATGGGAGGTGCCTTTTAGAAACATGAATTCATTAGAAACCTGCCTCTTTCAGTGAATGAAGCAAGAGATACGGATTCTTCTGTTGATTGTCAATCTGATCCAAGATAAATGGCAAATACTTGGATAGATTGCCAACAGCAATGTTTCCGAGAGCGTACGATGCTGCAGATTTTATCTCCTCCGAAGGTGACTGGAATGATTCAATTACAGTGTTCTCAATTTGAACATGGTTGCTGAGGTCCTTCCTTCTTCCAATTTCTCCCAAACATAACAAGGCAATGTGTTGTTTAGCCTGGAAAACAAATTATAAGTAATTACCAAATGACAAAGGGAAGGGCATAATTTACCTTCGAGTCAAACATAGGTATGCAGTTAACCCATGGCAAATAATAAAGATCTGCAGACACCCATCATAACCAAGCACTAACCCTACCATCAAGTAATTAATATTTGACTAATTACAGTTTAATATTTCAAAAATCATTAGACTATAGAGCACCAATAGCAGCAGACACATAATGATATAAGAACAGTGGAATGCATAGGAAACAAACAGACAGCATCCCAATAAAGCTAACTTGCATGAAGCAAGGCATGTTATGTCAACAATCGCAAGTATGACATACAGATATAAATGTGCAAATCTGGTGAACAAAAGACATGCATGATCAGGAAAAGCCTTACAGTATCAGTAGAACTGACATCATTTAGAATGCCTTCGAGCATTTCAATAGTCAATGCACACTTCTGATCACCAGCTGCTAAGCATAGCACAGCAACACACTGTGCAATAGAGGATAGTGCCTGCTTGGCAAGGCCGCCCAACTGTGACTGTTTGGCAGTGGAAATAAGGGAGCCCAACAAAGTTTCAAAGGTTGTATTTGCAGACTGGACCAGTGCAGTAAAAAACTTCTGCAGCGCCTGTAACAGAAACAATGTCCTCCATCAATTGGGGAATAAAGAAATCAAGCACTTATAATTAATATGAGAATATTATACCTCTAGTGCTCGTCCTTGTAACAAAGCACTCCTGATCAAAATAAGGGCCTGAGGCAAAACTTTATGTCTCACAGCTAAACCAACATTTTGGAAGGAACTTCTGTCGACCATTATTGTGCGACAGAGTTCCAACGCAAGAACAGACATATGCAAGTCGATGTCACTGCCACAATAGATAATCCAACATCAGTCATCATGGTAGGCAGAAACTGGAGAGTTGTTGAAGAAAGCTAAGGAAGAAAAAAAACCTTATAAGAATAGATAGTTCAGCTATTATAGTCTCATAAGAGGACAGGCCAATTTGATCCCCATATGTAACAACCAGAGAATTTAGGGTTCCTGTTGTTGCCTGCCTAAGGGCTCTGTTAGCCTGTTGAAGGGGGGAAATAAAATAAAAAACTTAGTCTTCAGTTTTGGTGCCCTGTTTAACATATAGGATGTTTCAACTTACAAAATCAAAACAAACAATGCGTATATATTATATATCTACCTTTCGAAGGAAAGTTGTAAGGTCAGAAACGACACGGTCCAGGACACATGAAAGATCAATCCGAAGAGGTGAATTCGCAAGCACCGCAAATGCCTGTAAAGGAATGAACATTTTGAAAATGCAATAGAACCAAAAAAAAGCAGTGAACAGGCATGCAATCACCTAGTACAGTAAAACAGAGAGTAAACATAACAGTCTGAAAACGCCGCCAGTGGGCATTAAGCAAATGATGACAGGGTATACAACTAAACTTGTGGACAAGACCCACACAAATATATTGGTACTCCCTTCGTCCCATAATATAAGAGCTTTTTTGGCATTGTGCCAAAAACGCTCTTATATTATGACACAGAGGGAATATATATTATAGTATATAATTAACGGTATCTTTACACCAATGAACCCGCCGCAAAACCATCTCTATCCCAGCAACCCAGCAAGATGCACTGATCAAAACATTTTCATTTGTTTTTGTCTACCATTGACTAGAATACTGAAATTCAACTCAACATTAACCATAATGTCCCTATTAGTTTTGTTCTGAAGGTGCAGTTGATTGCTTACCTTGACTGCTGTAAGTCGTGTTATTTCATAGCTCATCCTGTCAACAAGTAAGGATAGGCATGACGGTAATTCCCTTTGAAGACCATCACCAAAAGTAGCGATCACAAGGCTCATGCACGATATGGCACACTCATTAACTTCCTGGCAAAACAGAATAGCATGAGAGGGGAAGGGGGGAAAGGGGGGTATGTACGTAGGGGAGGGAGTGGTTAGACCTGATCTTGATTGGCCAAGCGGGCCCATATAGCTTCATAGATTGGACTAATATATGGCCTGCAATTTATGGAACGTGCCTGTGTAACAGCAGAACAAGAGCTTAAATATCACCATAACTGGGAGATTGTAACATCAGCACATGGAGTATAAGGCTGACCTCAAAATTTGGACGGAGAACCCGGACTAGCTCCCCGCACGCCCGTAGAGCATCAGCGGTGACTTTGTAATATATATCTCCAATAGCAGATACTATTGCATCACATAATATCTGGAAATTTTGGTTTGCGTTCAGTAATGACTAATGAGTAACGACCAAAACTGTCGCGAGTGGTTTATCAAAGATAATAGCTACAATACCTGGATGTATGGATGAAACACAGAGGGCGAATGTGGGGCCATAAGAATCCTAGTAAATGCAAGGGCTTCAATCTTCAGGCTGGAGGTATAAGATTTATCCTATAAACAATAGACGGCAAGTTAAAACAGAAGTCCTGCACAAGAAACTACACAGCAAATGAAACTCACTAACATTCAAATACATCTCAATCCAAGGAACAAGGGACCCAAGATGATCAGCAAGACAATCTGGTAATAGAACAACAAGCTCCTTCAATACTGAGAATGCTCCAACCTGAAAATGCCAACAAAACAATATAACATCATAATTACGAGTCCAGACAGATGCTTTGCCAGACAGTTCAAGAACAAACCTTTGTCTTGATTGATCTTTCATATAACTGACTATCGATAGACTTGACAACTTTGGGTACCTCTTGCTTCAGCAACCATCTAGGGCTGCAAAGTATACCAATTGACAATACAGGCTCAGTGCGCATATCTTGTGATCACAATCACCTCCCTCTAACCATAACAAGTCAAAAGCAGATAATGATTTTTGCATCCATGTACGAAGTCGTGCCAAGTTTTAACCAACATAGGCTCACTTAGGCTATTAGTCCAAACAGAGAAACGACTGCATTGTGTACTGCTTCTGATATATCCTATAAATGGCAAGGATGGGTAAAAAAAAGTAACAGATATTTTGCTTACCTAGACTCATCAATGTCACCTTGTCCTTTTGTCACATTACCAGTTTGGCGTAACAACTCGATAAATGTATTGAAAATGTCCATCTAGGATCAAAGAGAAGCTTCGTAAGCTTGATATACAATGACAATTCAAATCCAATTTAGCAATGAAATACCATGCAGTTACCTTTACATTCTCCTCTCTTTCCCTAAAGCGGTTGATTAACTTCGTACAAGCCTGTGAACAATCAAACAAATTACACCAAGTTCCATAGAGGCACTCGATTGAGTGGCTAATTTTCAAAACAGGTAATAAATGGTTGGAATCAGCTCAGAAACATCAATAACAATATGGCCGATATGGAATCATGCGATCATGACAAACAAGATTGTTAAAGTGCAGTAAGCTGGTTTAAACATGCTGTCATAAACATACCTCCTGATACATCTTAAACAACATCTGAGGACAAGATACAATAATTGCAGACAGGCACTTCGCTGATGCCTGACGAACCTTCCAGCTTGCATTCTTGTCATCTTTGTATTCAGACGCACTCTCACTGGGAGAAAATATTAAGGATGTTTCAATTACATCAATAGGAAACACTGCTTCTGTATTATAAGAACATAAGTAACATACTCATCGTCTTCCTCATCCTGAACTTCACCGTGAGCATCCTCCTTCATGCTATCGGTGATATTAGGGTCATAGCTTACATATTCCAAAGCAAGATTCAAAATACCCTCATAATATGGGGAAATATCTCTTGGACATCTGAGCATAATACTCTCGAGGGCCTATAAGATGGGGATAACTTAAAGCCACAGAGAAGCAACGGTAACAGCAATCTAAGGTAAAAACTGAACATAAATTCTCACCTGCAGGCTGCATGCACGGAGCTCTTCATCATTTTCTGATGCACTTGTGCAATAGCTTATGAGCAAAGGAACGGCTTCGGCAAGGTGTGGTCCAAACCGGTATCCAACCGAGCAGCTGTAAGTCAAATAATAAATTATATTATAACATGAGTTGCAGTAATCAAATGAATCTAACCAACCGGATCTGTTTTAGTTCCTTCCATCCTAAAATAAGTTTATCCTTGGGTATATTATCCAACCAGATTCATTCTATACAGATGTTTTATCGCTGTTTGAACTAGCCAACTTGAAGTTGAATAGCTCAGTACAAGCTGTTATGAACCTTTTTTTTTGCGGCAGTTAGAAGGTCAAAGCATATACCTTAGAGCACCAATCATCTGGATATTCGTTCGGGTTATTTCAGACTTCTGCCTTCTTTTTTTCAGCAATTGGACAGCCTCCAAAGTTGCCTTGGCTAATAGATCATCTGACAAACATGGAGCAAGCGATGCTGCAACATGAAGCGAGTTATAGTCACCATAAATAACTATGATTGTTCAACCAATTGCAACCATTAACAATCAAAATAACTGTAAAATACATTCAGCCATACCAATGCACGAAACAGTCTTTTTTCTGACACTTGCTTCAGTGGAGCTCAGCTGGGATAAAAGTGCAGTGAGCATATACGCATGATCTTTCGTGATCACGTTGCCAGATCTATCAAACACATCACCTAATATATCAAGACATTCGTATTCAATTTCAGCACTCTTTTCCTGTCAAAAAGAAGAAGAAATGTATCAAGACAATCATAAGTCGTGCCAGTGAGGCACTACAGTCCTGCAGGTGTGCTAACTTCCTAGGAGTAATCAGCAAAGGCTGTGGTGCAGAGGTTCCAGTTAAGAGATAACATACAAAAAGTTAATAGATCATCAAGTGACAACAGACCATGAAAGCACTATTTACATTTTTACTGGAGCTTCATACTAATAATAACAGGATGTGGACCGGATGTAATTAGAATAGCTTCAACTCATTGATACTACTGAAGTACTTGGCATGCAAGTCAACAAAGCCTAATCATAGATTAAAGTAAAATGCTGGAATAGAAAGAATAGTAGCGGAACTAACCTTTAAAGTCGGAAATGAAGGGATCCAAGAGGTGACAAAAGGTGAAATCTCAATTAATTCTTCGTTGGATCCAATTAACGTCACTGTTCCATTAATAGAATCCAGTAGATATAAATGCTCAACACCATTAATCCCCATGATAATATGCTCAACCCCATCGGAGACACCGTACATTGTCAAAAACTCCCCCCAGCCACTCCTTGACGTGTCCCACTCAATACAATTAAGGCTTTCCACAATATCAATGTGACAGGCAAATATAGAAGGAACATGAATCCTAAAGACAGGAGTCCAGGTATCTGACAAATACGACCATATTCGAATGTCGAAACCATCAACATGGACATACAGGAAATCAGAATAATTCGATCGGCATATCTGTTGAAAACGCCATTCATATGACCCATTTGGAAGAGGGATGACAGATGCAGAACAATCCTCCATTCTGACTTTCACTAAGAATCCATCAATAGAGAGCATATATATAAAGCGGTTAACACACAGCGCAGTCTTACAGAAGGGCCCTTCCCCAAGAGAAATACCAACATCAACGGAGCGAAGCATGCAGAAGGGTTGAGGAAACCAGGATCTGAGATGATTTTATACCAATCCTTACACACGAGCGAAGCATGCAGAAGGGTTGTTGGATCCTGGATATGGAGCAAGATATCAAACAACAAATACTTGATGCTGAAGGCCTGGTGGGGTTCCTGCGAGGCCTGCCCTGATCGCAGCCGTTTTGGTGACATCTCTGTCTCAGATATGTCTAGTAGGAACAAGAAATTACAGATGTTACTTCCAGTTTGTGGTTATCACAGCCATACAACAATCAGACAATGCGTACACCAATTCAACTAATACCAAACTACCAACAATCAGACAATGCATACAGCAATCGTGACATCTCTGTCTCAGTCATACCAACAATCAGACAATGCATACATCTCTGTCTCAGGTATGCTAGAAACAATAAATTGCAAATGCCACTTCCGATTCGTGGTTATCACACCCATACAATAATCAGACAAGGCATACACCAATTCAACTACAGACTACCAGTGAGAAAATTACCAGCGGTGGAGAGGCGCCGCAGGGGAAGCATGCCGCGGCGGTCAGCGGAGGCGGAAACACGGAGGCCTCGCCCCGGGACGGATGGCTCCGCGGCGGCGGAATAACGGGGCCGGGGCGCAGCGGAGGAGGCCGTCGTCGTCGGCTGCTCTGCTCGTCGCCGCCGCGGGGGAAGGCCGGGGCCAGCAGGAGGCTGCCGCCGGGATGATGGGGAGGTGAGGGGGAGTGGGTGTGGAAGGGTCGGGAGGTTTCTGGAGACGGTGGGGAGGGGTTTGCTCCGGGCGTACGAAATTACGCAGGCTTGCTAATTTCGACCAGTTTTTCTTTACATTTTTTTTTTGAGAGCAAGTTTTTTTTTACATTCGGGAGGATCCATGGAACCGAAATATCATCTCACCAACTCAAAAACAAAAACATCTCACCACGGCGTCCGCCTGGCAGGCCTGGCCCAGATAGTATTTCCGTAGCGGTTCCTCAGGCCCATAGAATTCAGAGAAAAAGAAGAGGGCCCAAGATGTAACGGGACACTGTAAGGCAAAGCCCACCGCGCTGCTGCCTGGATAGGGAGGACTTGAATTGATCGCTAGTCCTGCGTACGAATTTCGTGTTTTTCAGGACACTAGTAACCTGTATGTACTTCCCCTAAAAAAATTAAACATGTACATTAATTGCATGTAAATATTAGGTAGGATATTATTTCCGGATTAATTGTGTGATTGGCGCTAACGTTCATATTTTGTAGATATTAATTGCAGCACTCACCATCAGAGCAGTCCAAATCGTTGGATTGACCTGATTTGATGGTCGAGATTATTTTGATCTGCCCCTTTGAATCTTATTATATTGATATAGAATATAGATACTTCCTCTGTAAACTAATATAAGAGTGTTTAGATCACTATGTTAGTGATCTAAACGCTCTTATATTAGTTTATGGAGGGAGTAGATTTTTTAGTCTACACACTTTATTATTACTCAATAATGTTCATGGGGATACATCGAAAATCTGGTGAGTTTAACAGCCACACATGGCGCCCAAAATTCAAACTGAAAGCATGCTTAGCAAGGCTATGTGCCTCAAGATTAGTAGCTCTACCCTCGAGAGATGAAGGTGCAGTCGTTGATGGTTACTATAGTCTCTACAATCTCCTTAACAATGCTTGCATACGTACCTCCAATATGCTTGTTGATGTCCATGACTACACTTTGGCAATTGGAGGCGATAACTACATGTGATAATGCTAGATCCGAAGCTAGAGCAAGCGCTTCACGACATGCTACAGCTTCTAGCGTCGGTGGGTCTATTATACCATGTACTCTGGTAACTGATGAACCCAAATAAAGCCCCGATGAGTCCCTACATACCGCACTAAATGAGCCTTCGTTTTGGTTTCTTGCCACTGCACCATCCACCCTTATCTTTACAGATCCGAGCGGTAGTGGAATCCATCATGAAGAGGCTTGTCATTGGTTTTACCACTGTTACTGCTGGAGAGTTCTTAGGCTTGCACTCTTCCAGATCCTGAATGTACCTTGGAATGAAATTATGCGTGGATAGTGGACTTTGGAAGATATTTTCATGCAACGCTTGTCTCCTTGAGTACCAGAGTGCCCGAAGAGTCACTGCAACCTGAATAAAATAAGTCATGGAAAGCATATCTATCAAAGCAAACAGCCATCTTTTGGCATCAGATTCCCTTGTGTTGTTTAAGGCTTCGACAAGATCAGCCTCCTAGAACGCCTAGGTGCATCGTGCAACAGTACAATGGAGCAATGAATGTTGTCACGAATCCTCAGAACCACACAACCCACACCTAGTGCTAGTGGACATGTTACGATCGTGATGTACATCGGCTTTGGGGATTGACTGCTGCGCAAGCCTCCATAAGAAGATCTTAACTTTTGATGGCACCTCGACCTTCCATAGTTTATCCCAAAGCTTGGACTCTCTTTCATTGTTTGAATTAGCTGGCCGACCTTCAAGCCATGCTTCTCTCCGTATTTTTGTCTCAACGAGCATGCGATAGGCAGACCTTACAGAGAAGACACCGTTCTTTTCATGCACCCACGATCAAAAGTCATCAGTATGCCTCGTACATAGAGGTATTGACATGATGGCCTCCGCATTAGTTGGTATAAAAACCTAAGCAATTGTGTCTCTATCCCATTCTGCACCCGGCCAGATCAACTCACCAACCAATTGGGGCGGGTTAGCTATTCTACACACTATTGGTCTCATGTTTGATGGTCTAGGAATCCAATTGTGGTCCCGGATATTCATCGATTGACCATCCCCAATGCGACGAATCAGCCTTGTTTTAGCACATCTCGCCCCTCGAGTAGCGACCACCGTATCTGAGATGGGGCCGAACCAAGATCAGCTTGCAAGAAATCTGCATTTTGGTGGTATTTTGCCTTCAGTACCCACGAACTTAGAGCCTCTAGATCCATCAAAATTATGTAAGCTTGTCTAGCTAGCAGGGCTAGATTGAAGAACTCAATGTCACGAAATCCTAGACCTCCACAATTTTCGGTCTAGTCATCGCATTCCAAGATACCCAGCTTGGCTTTCTTTGTCCTTCTTTACTCCCCCACCAAAAGTTTCTAATCAAAGAATTTAAATGCGCCGCGGGCTGCGGCAGACAACCAATCCTTTTCGCACAGGGCGCCTGACTGGGTCGGCCCAATGGCGATGCGAGTGGGCGCGCGTGAGCGGGAGATCAAGCACCTGACCCAGCGAACCGGTCCCAACGCACATAACTGTAGTGAATCAGATCCAGCAAAAACTATGGGGAAAACGAAGCCCGGTGCACTGTAGCAACCCGTCAATGTAGCCTACTATACTGTATTGTACCATGTTATTGATGTAGGGAGGAAAAAAATAAAGAACAATTAACGAGCAAATATAAAAAAAATTGCATGTTTTTTTGGAATTCTGATTTTTTTTTAGAAATTGGAAACATTTTTTTGTACCTCAAACATTTTTCAAAATTTTCCAACCAAATTTTGAAAACAAGAACATTTTCTGAACTTCTGAACAAAATTTAAACATAGGAACATATTTTGAAATTCTAAACAATATTTGAAAACATTAAAAAATCAAAATTCCAATAAATTTCCCGAGAAAATGATAAATGAATGAATAAAGTAGGAATAATTTTTAAAAATTAGACCAATATTTGGAAAAAAGTTCCTATTTACTAATGAGAACAAAATTTGAAATTTTTTAACATCATTTTAGAAACATAAAACATAATTTCAATCCTGATCAACTTGTGCAAAAGGAGAAAGGTTTTTCAAAAACAACAACAAAATAAAAAAATGTGATCATTTTTTGAAATTATGAAAAAAAAAATCAAAACACAAACATTCTCTGAAATTTCCCAAAGAATTTGAATTTGCAAACTAATTTGAAAACATGCACATTTTTAAAAAATTGAAAATTTTATAAAAATAGGGACATTTTTGGAAATTTTTTAATTTACTTTGAATTATGATAAAAATTAAAAATGTAAACAATGAATTTTTGATATTCTAAACTTTTCTGAATTGTCAAACATTGTTTCTAAAATAGGCAGATAATGTTTGAAATTCTAAACTTTTTTGGATTTCAGAATAAAATTTGAAAACAGGAACATTTTCTAAAAAAAGAACAAAATTTGAAAAATATGAACTTTTTTTAAATAAAAAATAAAAAATGGAAATGAAAGAAAATAAAAAAGAAAGTGAAATAGAGAAAAGAAAAATGAGGAAAAGGAAAGAGAAAAGAAACAAAATAGGAGAAGCAAAAAATAAGAAAGAAACATAATAAGAAAATATGTTACTTTCTAGAACATTTCCAAAACCGAAAAAGCACGGCTAGAACCTCTAGAAGGTTCCCTAAGCTGGAATCGCTGAAAAGCTTAAGAGTGAAAAGATGTATTCAAAAATAAGAAGTTGCAAATATTGGGCCACCAAAAATATTAAGAGTATCTGTTGCAACTGGGTCAACATATTGTTTGGTAGTTCTAATATTATACCCACATAAAACATAAGCAATGTCGGTATACACGCGATGGAGTATCTACTACTCTTAAAAAACAGAGTTGGCGATGATGGTGTGCCTGCCATCCTGCAATATAGACAGCCCGATTTATGTCTGATGGATAGGAAGGAAACTATGACAATTTTGCAAAAATATACCCACACCCCTCTCCATATTTGCAAATAAGGTTTTTCCTCGTTCATCCTTTTCTCTCACAAGATAAACTACTCATATAAATGCATCTTGATGTTCCCTACCTACCTCTTGCTTTTCTCTCTCAGCTTTTTCACCGAAGTAACCGGCTCCTCTACAAGATCCCATCATGGTCTGCAAGCAGCCATCTTTTTCATCTCTCTTATCCACATCAATCATTCCTCATACATGGATAATAGGGCAGTTGTCCATGCTGGAGCGTAGTACATGCTCTCAGCCTCCTCCCCTCGTCCGCCCGCCATCATAGAGCTCGATAATT